ATGAAGTTGTCGCATCCAGGGGGTCGGGGAATTTGACCTATTGCGGGTCCACTCACGGTCGATGAACGAGCGCGACCACGGCTAGATCTCTCAGAAGATGAACCACGCCCTCTGTTGCCTCGTGATCGTCCTCGTCCTCGTCCTCGCCCTCGTCCAGACTCTTCACCTTCTCCCGGAAATAATGGAAACTCATGCCCTGACCAATCCCTCTGTGTAGAGTTCGTCCGCGGTCTACCTCTCGGGCAGTCTAGTACTTGTGGCGCATTCATTTCCATGGCCCCGGGATGCATTCGTTCAAAAATGGCATCTGTCACGTCCGTGATCTCAATTTCTGACCGCTCACGCAAATCATTCATTAACCCTTCTAGCCTGCCAATAGCCTGTGACCTGTGGTCGGGAACAGAACCAACACTTTCATCTAGGGAATCCCCGAATCCCGAAATAAATGTCCTCCAAAAAATGTGGACATCCTCTGCATAAAACACACCACGTCGTGCATTCATCTTTGCACGAATTTCATGTCTGCATGGGAGTCCAAGACATTTCCTCATATAACAGACGCAACCGTCTATGTCTTCATCCTTCTCATCGTCCAACATCTGCAGAGCATTATGTGTTACAATTCCACTGGACAATATTTTAAATACGGGCACGTTGATCGTCTGGGCCCGAATCCTCTTTGATTTTGCAAAATCGGCTAGTATCTCGTTAAATTGATCTTTCATCATTGAGTGATACTGTGCCCAAAATGTGTCGAAGCCACCCGTGGACGATTCCAACCATCTCTTCAATGCTCTATGGTTGCTCTCCACCCTAATATGTTTAGAATATGCTATGTTTCAATAAACTACATGACAGTAAGTTAAGTATATGTATTTAACCACTTATAAATAAATACCTGCTTGTCGATGTATTACCCAAATGGAAAATTAGATCCGTCCATGCTTTTACAAATTTCTCTTTGTATACGAGCCAAGTGTATTGGAGATACTCAATCAAATCTGGATAATTCGCGTACTCGTCCGTCAAAGCTGTGTAATTCCTGGCGAAATCTTCTTCAGACACTGATTTTACCAAAGTTTGCCACACGCCAACTACAAAAGCCGTGCCGCGACGCCTACTATTGCCGAGACATCTTGAAGCACGACGCCCCACATTCATGTTAATGTGCCAAAGACATAAGAGATGAGGTACGGTCGGAAATACATTCTCTAGCGCCTTTATGAGCCCTAACTCTCGATCCGTCACGATGGCACTAGGTAGAGTCTGAGGGGGGAAAAGTCTCTTCAGCTTTTGCAACACCCATGTGTAATGGTCTTCATTTTCATGGCGCAAAAATGCGACTGCAACAGTAAAATTTTTCCCGACAGGAATAACACCAACAATCTCCAACAAAGGCAATTTGTACTGATTTGTTTTGTAAGTACTGTCAAGTAGTAATACGTACGGAAACTTACTTAACAATTCCACAGATTGAGGGTGAGCCCACATCAAATCAGTAACTGCATGTGTAGTTTCATCAGTGCGGAACCACTTGTAATAGTTATGCTCCTCAAGCAACCCAA